TGCAAATATGGGATCGAGATGATAAACATCGTATCAGGTAGCGGGAGTGCAGAGAGAGAAGAGCCTACGCATCGATTTTCGAAGATATTTCTCACTCTTCAAACACCGCTATCTGAAGTGGATGAGACGCTTAATGCGAGCTGAGAGGTGTTTCCACACCTCCTCGAAACGACAGATAGAACGTGAGCGGCATAGTTTTTCTTCTAGTCTCATCCCAAACGGAACTTAGTGATTTCCAAGTGTCTTTCAAATTATACAGCAGTGGGGAATGACAAAGGATCTTCGAGGTGGAAGTAGTGGAAGACTCCTCAGGCTTTTTCTCCCGTTGGGATACTTGGGAAAACTCATTGGAGTTCTTCCCATCCAAAATGTGAGAGATATCGGTAGAAATCCGAATTCGGAATGCCGATGGTGTACATTGGCGTTTCTCTATAGCGTTTTATTCACGCCAGTAATGTTGGCCTTCTATATCTGGACAATTTTAATGAATGACACCAGAGACCAGAACCTGAATGATACTGACCATGACATAATGCAGCCGCAGATCCCTCTCGCAGACGAACTGGCAGGTCAGATAAATATGTGGACAAGCGCTGAATGGGTGATCTGCGTTTACATCTCCTCGATCTGGAATGCACGAAAGTTTCCCCACTTCTTCAATGGACTTCACGTTTACTTGAAGAGACGTGAAACCGATGGACGTGCATACAGGCGTTGCCGAAATGTCATTGTCTTCCTCATTACTGTAATCGTGCTTGTTTTGATCTTCTTCATGGGCACATTCGTTTTTTCTCTCCTACAAGTGAAAAAAATCACTTTTTCCGAACTAATCACAGCCTTCGTCTCAATTCTGCATTCTTACGTATATTATATCACACCTTTCCTTCCGGAATTCCAATGCATTTTTCTCTGCGTCCTTCTCGCTGAGTTACTTCGGTGTGAAGCTTCGGATATCTTGGAAGGATTGAAAACAGCAGGCCGACCAAAGAATGTCAGCAATAGTACTCGGCTCTTTCAAGGAGCAAGCAAATTCCCTCACATCCCCAAGCAGCATGTTTACGTAAACAAGATATCAATTCTTTGCAAACAATGTAAATTTCTTGCGATTGCCATGAAAATGAACATGTTGGCATTATCTTGACAATGGTTTGCGTAAAAATGATATAAAATGGACAAAAAATTTACATTCAGTTTACGTAAAATTAACAGAAACATGCTGTTTGGGTCAGCACCCTCAAGTAACGAAATATCCATCGTGGAATCGGAACCAATAAAATATTATTCCCATGAGATGCATTCTTTAACACAGGGGATCGGTGCTCCAGTCGACACCGATTGCACGAGAATGGGAGATTCTCGAGAATCACCGAGAGGATTACATGAAATTGGGGGAACTGGTCGACGAATTATCCTACGTCTTCAGTCCGACACTTTTGCTGAGTTTCATGAACAGCGTTTTGAGGACGACGGTGACGGTGTACACGGCGTCAGTGAACTTCTCGTATGGCTCTCAGCAGTGGTTGAACATCATGATGGCGGCTGGGGATGTTACCGGAAGCCTTATTCGACTTCTCCTCATCGCCATTGCCGCTTCGTATCTATCTGACAAGGTACCTTTAATTGATTGATTGATATAAGGTGCTATGTCTGAGTGCTGAAATAATAAGTTTAAAATGCCCCCTCGTTTTAAGAATTTAAATTAAACAAAAAATCGCACTGATTGACAAGCCTCCTTTAATCAGGATCGGAGGGGATGCACAAGATGAGCAGTAAGCACTGAATGAACCTGAGAAACTCCGGCAATGGAGTAAAAGAAATATAGCTGACTGGTCCACTTTTTTTGCTATTTATAGGTGTGATTCAATGTCTCCAGCAGTTTCGAGCATGAAAGTATTGTGAGAATTTTGCTCCCTTGCATTGTCCACAGATAATCATGACAGTCTGGAAAATTTTTCTTAGCATCAATATTCTGAGAAACATTATATAAGCTTCACCAGACCGTCATTGGTAACTTTTAGTTCTCACCAGACTTTTCTTGGCAGGGAAGTTCCTGAGCACACTGCACAAGAAAATAAATAAAATTAATCGGCATTCAGTAATATTGGAAATGTGATTGGGCAATGCAAGTGGTGAAAAGGAAAAAATTACCATAAGAATTTCAGGTTTTAATCTGAAATATTTTTAAAATTGTAATAATAAAAATGGCCGAAGTTCATAAAATATATTTCAAAAGGGTGTTCTTTGCTGAACCTAAAAATTCACATCCAGGTAGTTCAAAAAAGTTTGACGTGAAATGATCCACCTGTCCACTGTGTAAAGGGACATTGTATGGATCAGGCAAGGGTACTGGTAAAAACCTGAGTCTCATTTCAGTACCTGGTAGCCATCCTATGTCGATTGTTTATCCAGCTCATCATTTTTTGTTCTCTTGCACGAAACTGTCCTCTATAGAGAACGATAAGGAATTGTTTTGTCTTTTTTTCTTTAATCACCTTATGTATGTGTGTAGAACATGATTTCATGGGCAGAGAGGCAGGCCATCAGATAGCTACATCCTAGCAACCCTGGAAAGTCTCTGACCAGCATCAACAAGCTAATGTTCTATGTATATACATATAGTCTATGTATATGGTAAACATCTTGGAAGGAAGCAATAGAAACCTGTTGTCTTTCCAGTGATTCAAGCAATTGCGCCTAGTTACCCCGGCTTCGAAACATTTTTTTCTCTATATGCAGGGTGACGCAAAAGAGCGTCTGCTGCATATACTGTACATATTGAATAAGAATATTTCTCAATTAAAAAACCTGAGCGCATTTTATTTATACTTCATTTTACAGATTTCAGGTAGACTTTATCTCTTATGTTCTTTATGCTATACCATTTGCATCTAAAAATAAATGATATCGCCTAGGCCCTGATCGATTTACCTTAGCAAATAACTCAACGCTGTTTGCACATGTTGTCATAATGAACCGTCGTCCTGATGTGACTCAGCGGCCCGACTTGCAGCCGGGCGCTTCGTATTGGGCAACTCAGTTCTGACACGTTCAAGGGAAAGTGTTTCTCCTAATGGCTCGGCTAGTCCGGACGCTGAGTGAATGGGAAATCCCATCAGTCAGGCAGAGCACGAAGGGTTGGAAGCTGCGGTTGAAGAAGCTTTATGAAAGGGGACCCAACTCTACCATTTCTCCATCGTGTATCTCCCCTTCATTTATTTAAAGAGGAACTAAGCTCTGCAGGAATGAAGGCAGAATCGCTTTGTGGCGGAGTAATATATTTCACGGCTGTCAGACAACACTGTTGACGTTCGTCATATGGGAAGTTCATCATTGCTTTCCACAGTCATTGACTAAGATGATCTACAGCTTTCACAATTATGACGTAATGGAACCCTCATAATGACGTGCATTCCATTCTATAGCAGTCAAGTTTGCAAAGCGTGACAAGGATGGACAATCAAACAAATATGAACCCAGGAGGAAAACACTGTCACACTCGTAAAAAACCACTATCAATGACTAATGTAATCTCAGTATCAATAACCAACTATTCAATATTTCATAAAATACTTAAATAATAATGTGGAAGGCTGAGAATCTACATATATGACCGATCAATCAGTGAATTTCACTTATAGGTTTTCATTTCATAAAAGAAAAAACCCAAGTAAATAATAAGAAATACGATGACGATTTGATCCGATAGCATCCGCATTTGAGCCCTTTTACGGTTTATTTTGACGACCTTGAAATTCTGTGCTGCTACAGGCATATCAAACGAAATAGTATTTGTTACTGATGCTTGCAGGAAGGCGAGTTCGTAAAAAATTTGAACGAAGTGACGGGGTTCACCTCCTCTTCTCAAGTCGCACAGAAGGTGAGCATATTTCTTTCTCATTATAAGAATGAGAGAAAAAAAATCAAGTGAAGAAAACGCTCTGTGTGCTCATTCTCCCTACCAGGCGAAGCTTTTATACCTACAGATCCAATCCAGACCGATTCGACTTACAGCGACTGATTTTTTCGATGTGAATAGGGGTCTCGCAGTCTCGGTAAGCCTTTGGCATCTCTGATTCCGTCAATTATTCAATGACATTATTATGATCTATTATTATTATTAATGCTGTAATTAACTAATCTTCCTATGTTGGCGTTCATTTCACTCAGACGGTATGCTTTTCATTTCAGGTGATGGGTACGATCGTGACTTACTTGGTGGTGCTGCTGCAGTTTCGCTTGGATAGTCTAGGCTCAGGCAACGAAAATAAGGCACCGGGATGACTGCTTCTATGATATAATTTATAGACTTGGCTTGATTCGTGCAAGGCTGCTTCCAAAATAAATCCTCCTGACGAAGGTCCTCATGCATTCGTCACATCGATCCTGGATTGGAGGAGGGGGAGAGAGAGAAAGAGCGGAAGGGGGGAACGCGTAGAATGCGGAATATCAATGCAGATTCCACCATCCTGTGATGATAAAAGACATGCATTCATTTTCAATGCCGCTTATTCTAGCTAATGGGGTCACTACTCGACCACGCGAAAGAGTATTCCCCAGCGTTCCCTATCATGAACAATGAAGTAAAGCTCAGCAATTGGAAAATCGAATCTCTAGGGGTAAACGCGAGGACTACCGACTGGACTGGACTGGAGTGCAACCCATCGACAAGGTTGCAAGCTGCCGATGCCGATATCATAAGCAGGGGCAGCACGAAAAAAAAAATTATGTGAGCGTGTGAACGCAGCTAGGCGTCCGCCCTCTCCTCTCGCTGGAAACCACACTTGAGGGCTTCTCCCAGACAAAAATATCGATCGGACTATATTTCAGAAAGAAACGCTCTTTCTGCTTATATTTATTACCCCAGTACAGGGACAATAAATAACAAACTAACCACTGACGAACACAGAGAGACAGGCTGAAGAGGACTAATAGTGGTCTATCGTATTAAGAAAGCTCACTGGTACTACATGGCTTTCACATACGTCTATTTGAATCAGTATGCGATTTCGTGTTATTTTCTCTTCTATCTAAAGACCACAATCGGCTCCAGTACTGACATTTCAGGCAAAATGCAAATTTTTTGGAATATTTTCCATTCCCTTTCCTCCATCCTATGGACCTTCCTCTGCATTGGAGTGTCCCTGGTCAGATTCACATCGGTAGACAAGTGTGTGAAGAAAGTTCAGCTCTTACCACGAGGCATCTGGTAGGAAGTGTTTGGACAGAGAGTGGAAAGTACTAGAGGCTCATTCTGAATACGTCAAGGAATGATACACTACACCAGCGACTTGACGCCATCTCGTCTTTGGTCGCAAGGGCCTTCTCGCGGAGCTCAATCGGGACAAATGTCTGAGAGACATTGCCATTTACCAACATACATCTCCAGGCAACGTTGGAACACGGGACTGATATTACGCTACAATCGCCGAAGTTGATGAGTCAAATGTATGGTGTTAGATTGGGGTGAAGCAGACAGAAAAAACGGACACATTGTTGAGCCAAGATTGGATCACCAATCAACGTTGCGTCCATTTAGCACCTATGTGCCTACTTGAATCCAACATACTGTGCTATATGGGAGGCTTAAAGCGGCGTTGACACAGAAAACTCCAAGAACAGCACAGGGGTGTGTAACCTTTATAGGCAGTGAGCTGCATGGAAGTGTCTGACTTCATGTGGGTCATAAAATGCAAAAGAAAAGGCTCCCCTCTTTTGCCCTCAGGGCATATGAGGGCATGAGGTCGCTCTGATTAGCCGACGACCCTTACCTCTGTCCCACACCTAAGAATTTCCAACGGCCAAATATAGCCTCTGGCATCGAGAACCGCCCGCATGAGGAATAATAAGGGGAAGTGAAAGGACTCAGTTTACTTCTAGTTACAAAGGAATGACCAAAATGTGATTGGACCGCAAATAAACTTATTTTATCTGTTATCCCATTTTCATTCCTGGGCCTCAAGAAGCACGTCCACAGGTCACATGCGGCCTGCGGGGAGTGGGTTGCACATCCCTGGTCAAAAGTACGGACTCGCACGATATAGGACAATATGGGTGACATGCACCAGGCATCAGATTCGTTTAACTTCAAACTGATTCGCTTTCATAGTGGGCGTCTATGGGAATAAGATTATCTCTGTTAAATTGATTCTCATAGGGGACCATTGTGAGATCAGATTATTTTAGCTTAAGAGGATCCGATGTATGTCACCCTTTATCTTCGAAGATTAGTTTAAGAGAGAAATAAACTAATTTCCTTTAGTGCATGTCACAAATCAGTTTAACGATGAGTTCAACTCATTCCTAAACATGTTTGCCTGGAATCAGATCAGTTTAGCTCCTAAACCGATGTGGTGCATGTCACCCTCCCAATGAGATAGAGGTGAGGTACTCACTATCAAGCAGTGGAGATGCTGAGGGAAGGGCAACTGGCTCGATTTTTGAAGACATTTCTCACTCTTTAAATACCGCTATCTGAAGTGGATGTTTCCACACATACTCAAAACGACAGATAGGGCGTGAGCGGCAGTCTTTCTTTTAGTCTCATCCCAAACGGATCTCAGTGACTTCCAGGTGTCTCTCGTATTATTCATCAGTGAGATACGACATGAAGGGTCTTCGAGGTGGAAGTAGTGGAAGACTCCTCAGGCTTTTTCTCCCGTTGGGATACTTGGGAAAACTCATTGGAGTTCTTCCCATCCAAAATGTGAGAGATATCGGTCGAAATCCGAATTTGGAATTCCGATGGTGTACATTGGCGTTTCTCTACAGCGTTTTTTTCACTCCAGCAATCTTGACCCTCCATTTCTGGACGATTTTCAAGTATGACAGCAGAAACCAGAGCTCTAATGACACCAACTATGACATAATGCAACCGCAGATCCCTCTCGCAGACGAACTGGCAGGTCTGATCGAGATCGGGATCCACGTTGAATGGGTGATCTGCGTCTACATCTCCTCGATCTGGAACGCACGGAAGTTTCCCCATTTCTTCAATGGACTTCACGTTTACTTGAAGAGACGTGAAACCGATGGACGTGCATACAGGCGTTGCCGAAATGTCATTGTCTTCCTCATTACTGTAATCGTGCTTGTTTTGATCTTCTTCACGAGCACATTCGTTTTTTCTCTCCTACAAGTGAAAAGCTTCACTTTTTCCGAACTAATCACAACCTTCGTCTTATTCCTGTATTCCTACGTATATTATATAATACCCTATATTCCGGAATTCCAATGCATTTTTCTCTGCGTCCTTCTCGCTGAGTTACTTCGGTGTAAAGCTTCGGATATCTTGGAAGGATTGAAAACAGCAGGCCGACCAAAGAATGTCAGCAATAGTACTCGACTCTTTCAAGGAGCAAGCAAATTCCCTCACGTCAGCACCCTCAAGTAATGAAATATCCATCGTGGAATCAGAACCAATTATATATTATTCCCATGAGATGTATTCTTTAACACAGGGGATCGGTGCTCCAGTCGACACCAATTGCACGAGAATTGGAGATTCTCGAGAATCATCGAGAGGATTACATGAAATTGGGAGAACTGGTAGACGAATTATCCTACGTCTTCAGTCCGACACTTCTGTTGAATTTCGTGAACAGCGTTGTGAGGACGACGGTGACGGTGTACATAGCGTCAGTAAATCTCTCGAATGGCTCTCAGCAGTGGTTGAACATCATGATGAGGACTGGGGATGTTTCCGGATCCCTCATTTGTCTCCTCCTCATCACCATTGCCGCTTCGTATCTATCTGACAAGGTACCGTTTATTGATCGATTGATTGCAGGAGAAAGATTTTAAAGGGAAGGAGACAGCCGTGATCAACACACGAATGCTGCCTGCGAGATGGAAAGCATTTGGAAAACAATCTTCAGGTGTAACGGTTGCCTAAATGCCACTTGATAACTGTTGAAAACTACATAATATAAGTTAACTCTTGACATCGTGAGGCTGACACGGATGCATCTTGGACTCACCCAAGACTAATTCACATTGACCTTTCCTACTACCAGCATGCCTTTAGATAGGTTTCAGAGTGATTCGTGTCAGCGTGCACTCGAGTGAAGTTTGAAATCTTTCAAACTCGTAACGAGCGCTAGTGAGTGCTAACGAGTGTCAGTAAGTATTCATAATGGCCCATTCGGCACAGCAACGTTGTGTCAACATTAATAAAAGGTTGGCATTTTGAGACATCCACATATAAATAGGTTCTATCAATCGGCACGAGATGACGCCTAAGCGCTGGTTTAACTATTCTCACCCTGGTGCCATTGTAATGAGTCCTCTGTATGTTTCATATAGTCCCAGATCGTTTCCTACGTATAACTTAAAGGAAGGCTTTGGAATTTCTAGATAGACCTGTTTAAGGTGTTAACCCATGAGGAGACACCTAGTACTACTGGCCAGGAGATCCGAGGAGACATGCTGTAATTTACTAAGTCCTTACATGGAGTCCTAGAACAATCACGCTCATACATCTCCTTCCAACACTTTAACATTGATAAATCAACCTACCAACCAACAACCAACTCTACTCAATGTTGACACGACGTTGTTGTGACATAGAATGATCCTATCTGGAACTAGCCAGTAAGAACTCTCCAAGTGTTTCTGGGCCTTGAGACATTCGTATTGCCAACGGATGATCACGACATTCTAGGGTATTTCCCAGAGAATTGATATTTTAAAAAAAGTGCTGTAAGGCTGTGTGTGATCAATTTAATTTATTGTACAAGATTTTTCGGGACGGTGAAGAGCCTGATGATACTACACAAAAAGCACATACAATTAATTGACATTAATTAATTTTGGAAATGTTGTTCAGCTATTCAAGTTTTTGCAAAGGCAAATGTGTTGTGCCCAAAACAGAGGCTTTAGCTTTATAACCAAGTATAATGTAATAAATATTTTTCGAAGGTGATCCTTTGTTGAACCCAAAAATGCTCCTCTATAGTAGGTTCCAATTCCAGTTCCAAAAGCTTCCAATTAAACATGGCTGCAGATGCAATAGCATACATTACTTCGGCAAAAAATGTTCAGAGCATCACATTCATGCATAGGTGCTATAAAGAAAAGTTAAATAAAATTGACCGTTTCTAGTCCAAGTAATAACTTTTACAAAGCGATGTGGAATGAGAGAGAAACAGCGCGCGATAACTGCACTGGCCAGTGCCAAGACAACATTGACATCCAAAAAACCACAGGTGAGGCCACTGGAGGTTGATGAAGAGCACCTCTCCGCATGTCTCTCTGGTCGATATTGTCCAGAAGTTGTCAGCCCATTCGTTCCCAATTTAGTTCTCACGCGATAAGAAATACGATGACGATCCGATCCGATGGCACAGGCAGTTTTATTTTTATTTTCACGGCTTAGCTATTCTGTCCTGCTACTTGCATATGAAATGAGAAGTATCTACTACTGATACTTGCAGGAAGGAGAGTTCATAAAACACTTGAACGAAGTGACGGGATTCACCTCATCTTCTCAAGTTGCACAGAAGGTGAGCAAATCTATCCCTCATAGTAATGAAGAAGAAAATACAGGGCAAGGAAAGTGTTGAATGTTCATTATCTCCTACCAGGCGAAGCTTTTATACCTACAGATCCAATCCAAACCGATTCGGCTAACAGCGACTGATTTCTTAAACGTGAATAAGAGTCTCGCAGTCTCGGTAAGCAGTCGGCATCTCCGATTCCGTTACTTAGATGAATTACGATACGATATATCAACCTTGATAAGTTGTCGTTCATTTCAGGTGATGGGTACGATCGTGACTTACTTGGTGGTGCTGCTGCAGTTTCGCTTGGAGGGTCTAGACTCAGGCGACGAAAACATTGCACCGAAAATATGACTCCTTCCATGAAATCATTTACTGTCTTAGCCGATTCCTGCACGACTATTTCCGTTATCCACTCGAAACTCTTGTCTTCATCACATGAACACTGGATTGCGAGACAGAGATGGGGGAGGGGGGGTAATTTCGAAAATCCATCCAGACTTCGCCATCCCATGATGCTGATGAAGACATTCATTCAGTTTTAATGCCGCTTATACCAATCCAATGGAGTCACAGCTGGCGCATGCACAAGAACATGTTCCAGATTTCGCAGCCCAGAATAACGGACTCGAAATCGTGAAAAACATTTTCCAGACATTCATATAAATAAAGATGATTTAATGTTATTTTACGATATTGTAGTGCACACATCCCATGATATATACATGCACACAAGAAAAAAACTTGGCCATAGGACATGTATTGTCAACATATTTGCTTTCGCCCAAAATTTCAAGCATAGTAGAAAATCTCAGAATTTTCAATAAAAGTTTGTGCCCTATATCATTAATTTCAAGCCTCTTTCCTCCCCAAAAACATGAAATAAGCAAATCGATATACATTGATTCAGTTACATGTAAGAATTTCCCATTATTGAGTGATTGTACCTTAAAATTAGATGATTCTTCATTAATGTGAGTTCACATTGGCACCATAGTTTAAAATAGAAGAAAATGAATAATAAAGATCTGTATCCAACGTGTACAGACCGTATTCTTTCCTTCGATCATGCAAGTATGAAAACATCCTTCATGCTTTTGCCAAACCATTTTTAGTCTCATAAACTCAACGTTTGGATAATGGACGCCGATCCCAGTTCAGGCTGTCTTTCTGGAGTTTTTTTTTTCCTGAGAATTCAGCACATTGAAAATTCGGTTATTTCTTCGTTCCAATGCCATCATTTCTCACGCGGCTTCGTCCAACTCTGAAGAAACTACAAGACAAGCATAATAAAAAAGGGAATAATATGTTATTAGACCTTTAAGATGGACGATGATGAGACCGAGATTAAACACACCGGATCAGTGTCAGGTAACGGAAGTTGAGAAGAGAACCCCCGGTTCGATTTTCGAATATATTTTTCACTTTCTAAACACCACTATCTCAAGTGGATAAGGTCCTTAATGCAGCGCAAAAAGATGTTTCCACGCCTACTCGAAACGACAGATAGGGCGTGAGCGGTAGAGTCTTTCTTCTAGTCTCAATTCAAACGGATCTCTGTGACTCGCAGGTGTCTTTCATATTATTCATCAGTGAGATACGACATGAAGGGTCTTCGAGGTGGAAGCAGTGGCCTTCTCAGGCTTTTTCTCCCGTTGGGATGTTTCGGGAAACTCGTTGGAGTTTTCCCCATCCAAAATATGAGAGATATCGGTCGAAATCCGAATTCGGAATTCCGTTGGTGTACGTGGGCGCTTCTCTACAGCGTTTTCTTCACGCCAGTGATCTTGACCTTCTATTACTTGAGTTTTACCATGTCTGACGTCGGAGCTCAAAACAAGAACGACACCGACCACGACATGATGTCACCGCAGATCCCTCTCGCAGACCAACTGGCCAGGTATATCAGTCTCTGGACCGACATTGTTTGGATGATCTGCATTTATTTCTCCTCGATCTGGAATGCACGGAAGTTTCCCAAATTCTTTAACGCACTTTACGTTTTTCTGGAGACACGTGAGACTGATGGACAGGCACACAGGCGTTGCCGAAATGTCATCATCTTCTTCGTTACTGCAGTTATGATTGTCTCGGCATTCTTCATGAGTAATTTATTCTTTTTCCTCCAAATGGAAAAACGCACTTTTTTCGAAATAGCTACGGGCTTCCTTACCTCTATGAACTCCATCACAGTATTTATCATGCCTATGATCCCGGAATTTCAATGCGTTTTCCTCTGCGTCCTTCTCGCCGAATTGCTTCGTTTTGAAGCTTCGGATATCTTGGAAGGATTGAAAGCAGCAGATCGATCAAACGATATCAGCTGCAATTCTCAGCTCTTTCGAGGACCGAGCATATTCCCTCTCATCAGCATCCTCAAGTAATGAAACGGCCATCGTGAAATATATAGCACAATGCAATCGAATACCAGCTTAACTTCCCCTAAGAATTATTTTCAACACAGATCGCCGGTCTCGTCGACACCGATTGCACGAGAATGGGAGATTCTCGAGAATCATCGAGAGAATTACATGAAATTGGGAGAACTGGTCGACGAATTATCCTACGTCTTCAGTCCGACACTCTTGCTGAGTTTCGTGAACAGCGTCGTGAAGACGACGGTGACGGTGTACATGGCGTCGGTGAACTTCTCGTATGGCTCTCGGCAGTGGTTGATCATCGCGACTGCGGCTGGGGAAGTCTCCGGGAGCCTCGTTCGACTCTTCCTCATCACTATTGCTGCTTCATATATATCCCATCAGGTGATGTATCTTGATTGCAGGGAAATTACCTTAAAAAAAGCTCATTCCATCGACAGTTGAGATTATGAAAAGGGAAAAAAGGACGGATCTCTCATGACCAGGATCTGAGGGGACACGTGATTAGCGTCATGCCCTCAAGAAGACGAAACTTCAGAGATAATTTTAAGAATAAATTGTAAGACGGGTCGATATTTTTTTAATGATAATGATTCAATGCCTACTCCTGTTTCGAACATGCATTCATCATGAGAATTTGAGGCCATTTCATCTGCCTGTCATAATATGCGCTGGAAATTTCTCAATTGAGTCCACATTACAATGGCCGTGGTATACATTTTGCCAGGGCGTGTGTGGTCCCTTTTAGACAATATGCAGGATTTTCCCTGACGAAATGTCTCAATCCTCAGCAAAATCCTAGATCATATACGAATGCAATTGCCATTCGGTAAAATCGGAATCTAATAGAGCTATTGGGAATGTGTTTGCCCAAGACATATCAGACTTAGCTTCATAAGCGAACTTTATTAAAAGAATCTATTTTGAAAAGACTTCCCCTGCTGAATCCATATCTGCACCTCTAGGTTGCCCAAGAAATTCCCCAAGTTATTATGGACGTTTATGTTACACGCATTATTTCGACCGAAAATTTTCAGGAAGTAATTTCTATATGTAGGTGAGGCCACAAAAATGTATACGAAATTGATCTTTAAGAGTCCAAGAAAGGCTTTCCCCAACCGAGGTCAAATGCACGACCCATCAACAGTCGAAAATAGCTACTGTCGAATGTTGGGCGAGCACCGACATACAAGAAATTAAAGGTGAGGCCGACATTGGAGTCGATGAACAACTCTTGGCGTTTCTCAGAAGAATGGTGTCCTAAATTACCTGCCCTTTATTTTTCATTTTAATTTCCGACGTTTTACAAACATTGCTCCATTGACTCTCCTGTTCGTGCAAGAGAAAGGCTTGTTTCAAGATTTGGTAATTTAAATAAATTGATTTATGTTGCTATTCGAATGGCCTCAGCTTTATTAGGTTACATTTCCTAGAAAGAGGATCACGTGAAGTGCGATGGCACAGGCAGTTTTTAAATTTTATTTTCACGGCTTAGCTATTCCGTCCTGCTACTTGCATATGAAATGATAAGTATCTACTACTGATACTTGCAGGAAGGAGAGTTCATAAAACACTTGAACGAAGTGACGGGATTCACCTCATCTTCTCAAGTTGCACAGAAGGTGAGCAAATCTATCCCTCATAATAATGAAGAAGAAAATACAGGGCAAGGAAAGTGTAAGTGTTCATTATCTCATACCAGGCGAAGCTTTTATACCTACAGATCCAATCCAAACCGATTCGGCTAACAGCGACTGATTTCTTCGACGTGAATAGGAGTCTCGCAGTCTCGGTAAGCAGTCGGCATCTCCGATTCCGTTACTTACTTGAATTACGATACGATATATCAACCTTGATGAGTTGCTGTTCCTTTTTAGGTGATGGGTACGATCGTGACTTACTTGGTGGTGCTGCTGCAGTTTCGCTTGGAGGGTCTGGGCTCAGGCGACGAAAACACAACAAAAACATGACTCCATGAAATAACTTACTGTCTTGGCTAATTCCTGCACGACTATTTCAGAAGTAAATCCACTCGGAACTCCTGATGTCTGATGTCTTCATCACACGAACACTGGATTGCGAGACAAATGGGGGAGGGGGGGGGGGGGGAATTTCGAAATTCCATCCAGACTTTACCATCCCATGATGATAAAGACATTCATTCAGTTTTAATGCCGCTTTTATCATTCCAATGGAGACATCGCTCGCGCATGCGCAAGAGCATCTTCCAGATTTGGCAGCCCTGGGCAACGAACTCGACATCGGGAGGTGGAGAACCGAGTCACCAATGGCAAGGCTTCGCAATGTAGTCCGTCCTGCAGTCCTCGTGTAAGGCGCACGAGGTCTACCGACTGCGCCGACCATTTTTGACCATTTCAAATTCCCTTTTATGCATAATTCCAACTTGAGACTGCCGTCCAAAAAATAAAAATCCTTGGGGAAAGAGTTGAAGAATTTAAAAACTCATTTATATGTTGCTGATACAGAATAATACAGAAACCCATATGAAAAAATTCATATAGGATTCAATGAGTTTTTTTTTAAACTGAGATTCTTATAAGAATTCTATAAGACTGTTATGTTTCCAAACTCTTATAGCATCCAATATTATTTTTTCCAAAGCGAACCGATGGCAGGGCAGAAGAGATATATTCGCGAGAAACTAAACTTCTCCCCGATCCTCCAAGAACCATGAAAAAGGAAAATTTGGTGGTATCCGACATTTTCCAATGGTTTCCTGTGCAGGATTCTGCCTCAGTTTACGGTGGAATACTGAAGACCATGCATACGAACGTTATATTCTTAATTTAATCCACTTAGAAGCACACAGGTAAGGGCGAGCCAATGTTGGAAGCCAATGTTTGAGCCACTATTGGAATGTCTCTCTGCCCTCTCATTTCCATCATTTTCCCTACATTTATATATAAATAAATCCTTCACGGCCAGCATCCCAAGATCATGGATAAACCATCGATCGACTCAGACGTCAGCTATAACTGGCTGAAGAA